CTAAATATTCCACAGTCAACTGTTAGTGGTATTATAACAAAGTGGAAGCAACTGTGAACAACAGCAACTCAGCTACGAAGTGGTATGCCATGTAAAATGGCACAGCAGGGTAAGCGTATGCTGAAGTGCACAGTGCCCAGAAGTCACCAACTGTCTGCACAGTCAATAGCTAAAGACCTCTAAACTTCGTGTGGCCTTCGGATTAACACAACAGTACATAGAAAGCTTCATGGAATGGGTTTTCATGGCTGAGCAAGTGCATCCAAGCCTTACATCACCAAGTGCAATGCAATGCGTCGGATGCAGTGATGTAAAGCATTCCGCCACTGGACTCTAGACGTGTTCTCTGGAGTGACAAATCACGCTTCTCTGTCTGGCAATCCAAAGGACGTCTCTGGGTTTGGCAGTTGCCAAGAGAATGGAACTTGCCTGACTGCATTGTGCCAAGTATAAAATTTGGTGGAGGGGGGATTATGGTGTGAGGTTGTTTTTTTAGGGTTTGGGCTCGGCCCCTTAGTTCCAATGGAGGGAACTCTTACAGCATCAGCATACCAAGATATTTTGGATAATTTCATGCTTCTAACTGGGAACAGTTTGGGGATAGCTCCTTTCTGTTTCAACATGACTGCACACCAGTGCACAAAGCAAGGTCCATAAAGACATGGATGAGTGAGTGTGGGGTGGAGAAACTTGACTGGCCTGCACAGAGTCCTGACCTCAACTTGATAGAACAACTTTGGGATGAATTAGGGCAGAGACTTTGAGCCAGGCCTTCTTGTCCGACATCAGTGCCTGATCTCACAAATGCGCTTCTGGAAGAATGATCAAACATTTTCATAGCCACAATCTCAAACCTTGTGGACAGCCTTCCCTGAAGAGTTGAAGTTGTTATATCTGCAGAAGGTGGGCCAACTCAATATTGAACCCTATGGACTAAGACTGGGATGCCATTAAAGTTCATGTGCATGTAAAGGCAGGCGCCTCAATCCTTATGGTAATATAATGTACATATATTTTTTTTCCCCAATAGCTACAGGGGTTAGAAATCAAATTTGTATGCAGAAAAAATCTTTGCAAACACAGTGGTAAAATAGCAATGTCATCATCACTGTGCTGTACATAGCCTGAGCAGAAAGCAAAGCTGAGGGAGGGACCCAGCGGGCCACACTCACTACAGGCTGCCTGCAGAACTACAGGAGAGGGTGGAGACCAGACCAGTTACCCTGCACAGGGAGAGAAAGCAGCAGTGATTGATCTTAACCACTTCTCTATTGTGCTATAGCCGAAAGACGGCTACAACGTGGCTCTCCACTTCTGAGCGGGTGTCTATGGATGTCCTCCCAGAAGCCCCCTGGTGACACAGCACATCACAGATTGAGACATGGGCTTTCTGAATGGCCCTCCAGATAATGTTATGGCTTTGTCCAATTTACTGAGCGGTAACTTACCGTATCCGAGTATGCGGTAAGATACTGCACAGCTACTAAAATACCACATGAGCTATATTATTAAGTCATGCGGTATTTTAGTGGTGAAAACACTCTTTAATGTTTCAGTTGTCAGCAGGACAGCTGCATGTAAAAATAATTGCTGCCAATTAGAAAATTAACAAAAAATCAGCGTGGGTTCCCCCCCCATTCATATCAAGCCCTTCAGGTCTGGTATTGATTTTGAGGGGAACTCCCACACCAAAATAAAAAATGGCATGCGGTCCTCCCCCAAAATCCATACAGACCCTTATCCGAGCATGCAGCCCAACAGGTCAGGAAAGTGGGGGGGGGAAAGCGAGCAGCCCCCCTCCTGAACCATACCAGGCCACATGCCCTCAACATGGGGGGGTGTTTTGGGGCAGGGGGGCTCCCCCCTCAAAGCATCTTGCCCTTAAGTTGATTGCGTCAAGGGCCTCTTTTCTACAACTGTAGCGGTTGTTGAGGTCTGCAGGCGGGGGGCTTATCGGAATCTGGAAGCCCCCTTTAACAAGGGGGTCCCCAGATCTCACCTCCCCATGTGAATGAGTATGGGGTACATGGTACCACTACAGTCTTTGACAGGTCCTTTATTAAAAAAAAAAAAAAAAAAATGTGCCCCGAAATAGATCCAATGTCAATCACAATGCCCACCGCCGACCCAAAAAAAGAAAAAAGAAATGCTCTGTTCTCGATGCTGGCTCCCGCCATCTGACAGCTGCACCGGCCTGACAGTTCTTAAATATCTAAGGGGTGGGGCCACAAGGGTTGGAGCCACCCAGTGATGTCAGCCAGGTGACCCTGCCCCCTTGTGATGTCATCATGCGCTGTGATTGGCCAAAGTATTGCACCACATGCACCTGTGGTCAGGTGCATTGCTTTGGCCAATCACAATGCACTGTCAGGGCGGCGGGCGAACAGCCCACCGAGCACCCTTACGATTCGTGTGTTCGCCGAACACATGAGCGGCCGATGTTCGAGTCGAACTTAGTGTCCCATTGCAACATCAACATCTGCCAGTGTCACTTGTTGACCGTCAACATTTGTCGGTGTTACTAGTGGACCATCAACATCTGTCACAGTGCACAAAACATCTGTCAGTGTACCAGTGTCCCATCAACATCTGTCACAGTGTACCAGTGCACAAAAACATCTGTCACAGTGTACCAGTGCACATCAACATCTGCAATAGTGTCCCATTGCAACATCAACATCTGTCGTTGTCCCTAGTAGACCATCAACATATGTCAGTGTCCTCAGTGGGCCATCAACATCTGTCACAGTGTACCAAAGCACAAAAACACCTGTCAGTGTACCAGTGTCCTATGGGAGCACTAGCAGAATGTGTTCTGAGGTGTAAATCTAGGTATGCCTGCACTGTGTGTTAGAAATATCTTAGAAATTGAAAACTTTGTTTAAAAAAATAAATTTTCACAGTTCCCAAAAGCTTGTGGCAAACAAATTACATGTTGAACAGACTCATTATGCCGCATAAAGAATAAGATGGGGTGTTTTGCTCCCTAAGATGTGGTAATTTTGTGGATAGTTCCACTGTCTGGGTGGTTCAGCGCATTCAAAAATGTAATTGGTAGCCAGGAATTTGGAGTTGTAATTTATGCCCCTATACTGCCTGAAGATGCTCCTTGGATTTTGGGCCTCGTTATGTAACTCGGCAGTGAAAAAGTTTCACACATATGGTATTGCATACTCAGGAGAAGTAGCAGAACATATTTTGAGGTGTATTTTTAGTATGCCCATGCTTTGTGTTAGAAATATCTTATGAATTGTCAACTTTGTGTAAAAAAAAAAAAAAAAAAAAAAAGTTTTAATTTTCTTTCCACATATTCCAAAAACTTGTGGCAAAAAAATTACATTTTCAAAAGACTCATTATATCTCAAAGAAACAATATTGGGGTGTTTTCTTTCCATAATGTCATTTTGTGGGTGTTTATACTGTCCTGGTGCTCCAGGACCTTCAAAAGTGTGATAGGTAGTCAGGAAATTAGATGTGTAATTTATGGGTAACTTATGCTTCTTGGATCTTGGGTCTCATTATGTGGCTAGGCTGTGAAAAATCTCTCACATGTTATATCCCCTTACTCAGGAGGAGTAGCAGAATGTATTTTGGGGTGTAATTGTGTACTGAGGTGTACTGTCCTAGCAGTTTAGGGCCTAAGGAGATGGGCTCTCAGTACATCAGGATTGATCAATTTTCATATATATATATATATATATATATATATATATATATATATGTACCATTGTTTGTAGGTTCTATAACTTTCCCACAGACTAAATAATATACACTGATTTGTGTTATTTTTACCAAAAGAAATGTAGCAGATTAAATTTTGGCCTAAATTTATGAAGAATGATTATTTATTTGCAAAATTGTATTACAGAAACTAAGAAAACACATTTTTTTTTTTTTTTTCCTCAAATTTTCAGTCTTTTTTCATTTTTGATAGCTAAAAGTAAAACATCCAATGGTGATGAAATACCACAAAGGGAAAGCTCTATTTATGGGAAGAAAAAAAAAATTAAAAATTTAATTTTGGGTGCAGTGTTGCATGACTGAGTAATTGGCATTCAAAGTGAGACAATGCTAAAAGCTGAAAATTGGCCTGGGCAGGAAGGGGGTGAAAGTCCCTAATATTGAAGTGGTTAACACAGGAAGCTCCTACACAAAGGCAAAATTTCACAATGGATTACTGGACAGAAATAAAAAGAAATACACAAGGCACACAAAGATTCAATGAAAAATACATACCGTATGTCTATTTTATTTAGATAATGTTTACTTATCCTAGAGTTTAGTTTTAAAGTCTCATTATCATTATTAAAGAAAAAATACAAACTAAAAAAATGGATAGCTAAGGTAATGGAGGATGACAGATCCAAGCCATGCTGTTTTCACTGGCAGCTCTATAAATTTGCCCCTTAGTAGATGTATAGTGCATTCTTGCCACAATCCATGGAAAACGGGTGCTAATGAAAACATTTAGCTAGTGTGGAGCATTTTTAAACTCTGAAACACACGGGGTAACTAGTAACAGTGCATTATTGTAGTAGGTATTTTCTAACAGACTGGAATTACTATTGATACAGTTTAATGGGTCAGCCTGCTCAAAAGTTACTTCTAAGTAGACTGGATCAGCCCCAATACTTCTTAGATATTTCAGCAGAAAAATCTCCCTGCCATAATCTCAAAATCTGTTCCTATCCACCTGGGCTTTTGGCTTTTTTGGGTAAATGTTCATAGCAGAGTAGATGTCTTGTAAAGAAAACCTGTTACTTTACCTTTTATAAGCAAACTGACAAGTTGATTTTAATCTACCGTTATATAGGGAAAAAGGTAGAACATCCATCAGGTTCATCGTGCCCTCAATGTGTCCTTATTGGGACTTTTACTTAAATAAGTAAGGTAAACATGCCTAACAAAAGAGCCACTTTAAGCATTTTTCATTAACAATATTGCCACTGACACTGTCGTTGTCATTGACTTTTTTGCAGGGTGCTTGATCTGAAACACATATGGAAAGAAAACGTCTCAGAAAAGAGCTTGAGAAACTTCTGTAAGTAAGCCAGCACTGCATCACACATCTTCTGTAAGGTTTGCATTAGTCTCTGCAGGGGATTCAAGTTTAATAAAAACACCATTATAGAGTAGACATTGTAATATTATCCTAATGAGAGAGTCTTTGAGACAGAGTGTATCTCATGTTTGTTTGTTTATTTGTATTTATGTATTGTTCTGCAGTATGAATATGAACTCAGTCCTATAAAATGTAAGAAAATATTGTTGGCCAATGGCCGCAACTACTGGGGGTATGCTGAAGATATGTGCTTATACTGCACTGCATTATGCTGGTTCCCTGAGTAGGAGGTGGTCCTCTACTCTCTGTCTAAATAACTACTGAAGTATATCAAAGAAGGCATTAAACACAAACACAAAGTCCAAAAAATCTAAATCCTTCAATTTTAATTCCAGTTCCAACACCAAGTGAACTATCAGGACGCTGATTCCAGGGGAGCTCCAGGATAAATTGTGTACGTGTGTGAAAGGGTCTCAAAATTCAAAAGCCTACTTCATTTCTATGTTCTTTTTGCCTACATTACAGGAGTAATCTAGTTGTTTATATGTAGGCAAATACATTATGCTGGGACTAGGCCCTTTAGCACCCAAGGCGAAAAGGACAAAGAGTGTCCCCTACCATGAGCTGTGAACTACATCAGCAGCATAGGTTTCAGGTCTTGCCCTTTTGCATCCTGTCGAGCTGAAGCACACAAGGTAGTATCTCTTCTACCTACCTACAGCCCTGCAGATGCATAAAAATGATGCAGGGTAGTAGGGAAAATCTGTATGAATGTATGCAATATTCATATATTACATATTTTAGGGTTAAAATCTAAGAAGATTCCTCTACCCCCCTTAGAATTATTTATGAAGAATTACTGACTTGGCTTGGTGTAAACATAGCTTACATGGGGCTAAGGACACTTTCCCTGCCCTCACGTGACAGCACTGAGCCGAACACTAAGCACCATAAGCTCCTTGTTACCCATTAGTACCAGATTTTTTTTTCACTCCTGATGCCTGAACAAAAGGAAAGGAAGTTCAAAAAAGACAGGCAGAAGAAGAATTAGTCATCTGCATTGCCTGTGGTCTCCTTTATCTTTCCCCAATTACTGATCTAGTTTGCTTTATTGTAGGCAAGTTGAGGTTGGGTCTACTGTGTGACCCACTTAAGTGTTTCACTTTGAAATCCTTCCAGGAAGGAGGATGATTTAATGTCCTTCCTGGCAGGATACCTTAATTACCTGGGGAGGAGCTTAGCTCATGTCAGTTGCTGGAAATCGGAAGAGGGAGAGCCATGAGAAAAAGCACTATGTAGCACTGCTTCCCTTTTGGAGGTATTTCCTGGAGCTAGGCACAGAGGTACACCACCATTCTCACAGAGACTTGATACATTTATCTGAGTGAAGGATGTTATGCATAAAGGAGTGAAATATTGCTTGAAGACTGTATTACTTAATATTGAAGACATGTTTATTGCACATTTAAAATTACTGTGATTGATGCAATAAAATTGCGTTGGAACAAGCTGCTTCTTGACTCAGAGGTGATTGCTGTTTGGATGAAAGTTTCATTTTTGGAAGCTCGGATGTATCTGAATTTCCGAATGGACATAGAAACAAATGGCAACAAATCTGAAAAAAAGTTTAAATGAAGCTAAAGCCTGCATTTGTTTCATTCATTTCATTCAGATTACATCACATGATGCGATAGTAGTTTTTGGGCCCATGCAGAAATTAATTCAGTGTTGGAATTCATTTGATAGCATAAAAACTTATCAGAATTCTTTGTGAATAGCTGGTTGTTAAGAAGCGGGCAGCTGTGTCCTTAACAACCATGACTCGGATTGCTGTCAGCGGATTCCCCACCGATCCTTACCAGGCCCTTAAATTTAGTATGGATTTTAAGGGGAACCCTGTGCCAAGATAAAAAAAATGGCATGTCCCCCCCCTCCAAAATTCATGCCAGACCCCGATCCGAGCATGCAGCTCGGAAGGCCTGGAAAGGTTGGGTCGAGCGAGCCCCCCCTCCCTCCTGAACCATACCAAGCCAAAGTCACGCAACATGGGGGGTGCTTTGGTGGAGAGGCATCCTCCCCAAACAACCTTGTCCCTATGTTCATGAGGACAAGGGCAACTTCCACCCAAACCCTGGCCTTGTGGTTGTGGAGGTGCAGGTGGTGACTTATCATAATCTGAAAGCCCCCTTTGAGAAGGGGGCCCCAGATCCCGGCCCTCCCATACTCCTTCACCAAAAAAATGTCAAAAGTAAATAAAAACACAGTTTCTGACAAGTACTTTATTAAAAAAATAAAAACATGTCCCCCGTTGTAAATCCAGCGTCAATCACAATGAACGCCAACCTGCGCAAAAAAAAAAACCCACCGCCCACTGAACATGACCGGTCCTCTCTTTGAGAGACACTCGTCGAATGACAGGTAAGTATTGGAGGGGTTGAGGTGGAAGCTGCACACTGAAGGGTTTTTTTGAATGCACGAAGGTAAAAAAATGTCAGCCTTTAGAACCACTGTAACTGTATTTATTTTTGACCTAAATGCAAAGTTTATCCCTGCTAAGAATGCAAAATATAACAACTGCTACTGTGCAAATATCACCCTCCACATGTCTACAAATGTGTATTGACCATTCAGTATGTGTAAATACAAATGCTGTTTGTTTGTCTTTTAAGTGGTGACTACGTCAGCACTACTCTTCGAGAAAAGGAATTTGACCCAAAAGGCAAGAAGGAATCCTCATGCCTGGATGACCTGGTAAATAAAAATATGGTACATTGTAAACACACAAACTGGTGCAACATTCTGTTCTCTCCCTAAATAGAAATTTCCATAAAGAACCAAATGCCAGCTTGTTCTTGATTGGGTTGATACTTTAAGTATTGGCCACAGCTTGAAAAAACATTGTAATAACACAATAAGAAATGTACATAAACAAGTGAACAATTAAGAACACGACCTAATCCAACAAATCCCTTTTTCAAGGCTTAGTAATGTATGTCCACCCAGGAGCTAATTCAGCCCCCCGGCCACAAACAGCTATGCTCAGGGACTTTCCTGCCACAAACTCTATTATTGATTCAGTACCTTGCAAAACAAGTAAATGGGCCAACATAGGATTGCGACAACTCTATCTAGGCATAACTGCCAGCTATTACAGGAAAGCATTAACAAACAAACATTGTACAGATGAATCAGTAGTGACACTCTCCATTTGCAGTAAAGTAAATACATAGCAATCAAAATAAAGCAAAACAAACACATTTATCAGCCCCTTACCTACTCCATAAATAGTTATCAAAATTATCTAGAGAGTATAGCATCAAGTTAATTAAACTTCTGGGATACTGATCTGGTCAGTTAAGTAGCAGAGGGGGTTGTTAATCAGTTTCAGCTACTTTGGTGTTAATGAAATTACCTACAGATGCACTAGATGGGCAACATTGAGACGACCCCCAAAACAGGATTGGTTTTACAGGTGGAGGCCACCTACATTTTATTCTCTACTCATCTTCTCTGTTTTTCACTAGTTTTGCATTTGGCTAGGGTCAGTGTCACTACTGGTAGCATGAGGCGATACCTGGACCCTACAGAGGTTGCACAGGCAGTCCAACTCCTCCAGCATGGCACATCAATATGTGCTATTGCCAGAAGGTTTGCTGTGTCTCCCAGCATAGTCTCAAGAGCATGGAAGAGATTCCAGCAGACAGGCAGCTACTCTAGGAGAGCTGGACAGGGCCAAAGAGGTCCTTAACCCATCAGCAGGACCGGTATCTGCTACTTTGTACAAGGAGGAACAGGATGAGCACTGCCAGAGACCTACAAAATAACCTCCAGCAGGCCACTGGTGTGAATGTCTCTGATCAAACAATCAGAAACAGACTTCATGAGGGTGTCCTGAGGGCCCAACGTCCTCTGTTGTGCCCTGTGCTCACTGCCTAGCACTATAGAGCTTGATTGGCATTCGCCATTGAAAACCAGAATTGGCAGGTCTGCCACTGGCAGCCTGGAGAAACTATGGAGAACATTATGCTGCCTGTAACATTGTTTAGCATGACTGTTTTGGTGGTGGGTCAGTGACGGTCTGGGGAGGCATATCCATGGAGGAAAGCACAGATGTCTACAGGCTAGACAATGGCACCCTGACTGGCATTAGGTATTGGGATGAAATCTTTGGACCCATTGTCAGACCTTACGCTGGTGCAGTGGGTCCTAGGTTCCTCCTGGTGTACGACAATGCCCAGCCTCATGTGGTGAGAGTATGCTGGCAGTTCCTGGAGGATGAAGGAATTGATACCACTGAATGGCCCCCACGCTGATTTGATATAAATCCAGTAGAACATCTCGGGATATCATGTTTCGGTCCATCCGATGCCACCAGGTTGCACCTCAGACTGTCCTGGAGCTCAGTGATGCCCTGATCCAGATCTGGGAGGAAATACCCTAGTACACCATCCCATCCTTCATCTCATTAGGAGCATACCTTGACATTGTCAGTCATGCATACAAGCATGTGGGTTCCATACAAACTACTGAGTACCATTTTGAGATGCTGCAATGAAATTTAAGCAAAATGGACCAGCCTGGTGCATCATTTTGTCACTTTGACTTTCAAAGTGACTTTGAATTCATTCCTCTGTAGGTTGATCATTTTCATTTTTATCAAATGATGGGGCATCCTTACATTCCTAACACATTACCCAGTCCATATCAGTATGGATATCCAACATTATATTTTTCCCCATTGAGATCTGATGTGTTTTCAAAGTGTTCCTTTAATTTTTTTGAGCAGTGTATATTATACTGATGTTTATTCTATATGTATTATATACAGGGGTGGACTGACAACTCATGGGGCCCCCGGGCAATAGGGGATCATGGGGCCCCTGTGTCCTCGCCCACACTCAAATCACACCCAAAAAAGCCTATGAAAGGTACCAGGGACATCTCATGGGGCTCCCTACTGACCCCGGGCCCTCGGGCAGTGCCCGAGTTCCCCAATGGTCAGTCCGCCCCTGATTATATACATACAGTGGGGATCGAAAGTTTGGGCACCCCAGCTAAAAATTTGTATTAATGTGCATAAAGAAGCCAAGGAAAGATGGAAAAATCTCCAAAACGCATCAAATTACAGATTAGACATTCTTATAATATGGCAACAAAAGTTAGATTTTATTTCCATTATTTACACTTTCAAAATAACAGAAAACAAAAAAATGGCGTCTGCAAAAGTTTGGGCACCCTGCAGAATTTATAGCATGCACTGCCCCCTTTGCCAAGCTGAGACCTGCCAGTGTCATGGATTGTTCTCAATCATCTTCTGGGAAGACCAGGTGATATCAATCTCAAAGGTTTTAAATGCTCAGACTCATCTGATCTTGCCCCAACAATCAGCACCATGGGTTCTTCTAAGCAGTTGTCTAGAAAACTGAAACTGAAAATAGTTAACGCTCACAAAGCTGGAGAAGGCTATAAGAAGATAGCAAAGCGTTTTCAGATGTCAATATCCTCTGTTCAGAATGTAATTAAGAAATTGCAGTCATCAGGAACAGTGGACGTTAAAGCAAGATCTGGAAGACCAAGAAAAATATCAGACAGAACAGTTCGCAGGATTGTGAGAAAAAACAATTCAAAACCCACGTTTGACTGCACGATCCCTCCAGAAAGATCTGGCAGACACTGGAGTTGTGGTACACTATTCCACTATAAAGAGATACTTGTACAAATATGGTCTTCATGGAAGAGTCATCAGAAGAAAACCTCTTCTACGTCCTCACCACAAAAATCATCGTTTGAACTTTACAAATGAACATATAGACAAGCCTGATTCATTTTGGAAACAAGTTCTGTGGACCGATGAGGTTAAAATTGAACTTTTTGGCCGGAATGAGCAAAGGTACGTTTGGAGAAGCAGGGGCACAGAATTTAATGAAAAGAACCTCTGTCCAACTGTTAAGCATGGGGTTGGATCAATCATGCTTTGGGGTTGTGTTGCAGCCAGTGGCACAGGGAGCATCTCACGAGTAGAAGGAAAAATGGATTCAATAAAATTTCAGCAAATTTTGGATGGTAACTTGATGCCATCTGTGAAAAAGCTGAAGTTAAAGAGAGGATGGCTTCTACAAATGGATAATGATCCTAAACACACTCGAAATCCATGGGGGATTACATCAAGAGGCGTAAACTGAAGGTTTTGCCATGGCCTTCACAATCTCCTGACCTCAACATAATTGAAAATCTATGGATAAACCTTAAAAGAGCAGTGCGTGACAGACAGCCCAGAAATCTCAAAGAACTGGAAGACTTTTGTAAGGAAGAATGGGCAAAGATACCTCAAACAAGAATTGAAAGACTCTTGGATGGCTACAAAAAGCGTTTACAAGCTGTGATACTTGCCAAAGGGGGCAGTACAGATATTAACTCTGCAGGGTGCCCAAACTTTTGCAGACACCATTTTTTTGTTTTCTGTTATTTTGAAAGTGTAAATGATGGAAATAAAATCTAACTTTTGTTGACATATTATAAGAATGTCTAATCTGTAATTTGATGCGTTTTGGAGATTTTTCCATCTTTCCTTGGCTTCTTTATGCACATTAATACAAATTTTTAGCTGGGGTGCCCAAACTTTCGATCCCCACTGTATATTTCCCAGCAGGGCACATACCTCTAAAGCCAGCTATAGACGGTTCATATCTTTGTATGCCAGTTCAGCAGGGACCGATCGAGATTCAAACCATCTATGGGCTGGCTGAATGTACCCAAGTTGATCGATCAATGTACAATGTACAACCAGCCTCTCGGATTTTACATTCACATTACATTATTGCTAGCGGCTATTATAGCTGCTAGCAGTAATCCCTGTGTTCTCCTGGTGGAGTACTGACAGTATGGCTGATTTTAGAGTTATGTGTTGATGGGAAAATCAAGCAATTTACTTTCGTGCAACCTATGGTTACAGGAAAGAAAATCGCTCCATCTAGAGCCAGCTTAGGTCTCTCCATTTTCCTTCCCCACCAATGAGAACAACTCTTTGTTTATGCCACCTCTCCCTCTAGATATCTTAACTGTTTACAACATGTTGTATGATGATTCTTTCAGTGTCATCAGTGTTGGATATAGTTTGCAGAAGAGTGCTAAAATATATTTTTTGGGGACTTAAATACTGTAGGCGTGGCTCTCAGAAAATTATCGTGGACTTCCTGAAAATTTAACTCAGCTCAGTTCACCCTATTATTTCATTTGAGTTTAACACACCTGCCTTAGAGGGGCTAGATAAAAAAAATGGGTCTTCATTCATCATGAGGCTGCCTGTAACTTCCCCTTACCCTTCTTATTCATCCTCCCTGCCCTTTTGGGCTAATTAGCTTCCACCTTTAATTTTATGAAAAAAGTCTGATTTGTCAACATGAACAATAATTTCACCTTTTTACTATTTTTTTACATTGCTTTAAATTCACCAATGTTTGTGTGTAAGGGTACTTTGGCATGCTATCCTAAAATAAGATTTTTAGACTGCATGCTGTCATTATAAGGGCAATCCTGTTCATCTTCTTAATTAGTCCTTTACACACACCCTTAAAATGTCTAGCAAATATTTGCATAAAAACAGGTATTTTTGGTTCACATAAATTGCAATATACATTCAAGATGGCCAGCTGCATGAAAGGAACACCTTTCTGGCCAGTCACTAGTGGACATATAATGCACATATAGGGTATACCAACCCTGTTGGGGGAAAGGTACAGACTCAGGTCTTG